TTTTATGTTATTTATGTTAATGCGGTGCGATGCAACGCAACGCGTAAAAAGACAGTATAAGTAATTATAAATGTCCCCACCAATCAGAGCACACCTCACTTTTCAGAACGATGAGCTTTGTAAAAATCGACACGTTTCAGAAAGATGGGGCATAGAGGAGAAACAATAATGTACAGTATGTGGAAAATAATGTGGTTTTTTTTACCTTAAACCGCATAAATGCATTTCATTGCACCAAATAAACAAAATAATGTTCTTTTTTAGCAACGTCATATGACCCCTTTAAGTTACCAAAGGACATTGAGTCACCACATAAACAGTATCCTCTACAGACTCTGCGCCTACAACCAACCCACAGAGTAGGGCTGGGTATCGATTCAGATGTCCCGATTCGATTTCGATTGGCAAACTCTCGATTCGATTCGATTCTTGGTTCGATTCTCGATTTTTTTATTACATTCAGTGAATATAGTTTTAATACAAATGCTATTGATATTTCTAAAAAAAATGAACAGTAAACATCAGTTTACAAATGGTGAATGAATAAAAAGAAATTAAGAGCCACAGGCCTGTATTTTAAAGCTATTATTTTTTGTATAGGGTCCTTTTTTAAACAATAATAGGGCCTAATAAAATGTTCTTCTTAATTTTTCTGGTAATCAGATGAAGGCATAAAACATTAATTTAATTGATCCTAATCAAATGAAAATTAAACCCTTTTATTTTTTGGCAGACAAAGTGCTGCACAACAGAGGTTTACTGTTAAAATTATAAAGAAAACAAAATGTAATTATTCCTTTAAAAATAAAGATTTATTAATATTTAATAGTAGTAGTAGCATTGTTGTTACATTGAGTCTTAAGACTGCTAAATAGTAATATTTCTGATACAGTTTCTTCATGTTAAACTAAACTTTTATTTTGACGGGTTGCCGTGAGGAACTTGCAGCTGATGTGTATGTGATATGACGGTAGTTTTGTCAAATTAAACTGTAAAATGCTAATGAAGTGACTCTCAGAGCAGCTGGAGATTATACTAGTGTATTCATATCATCATAGTGAGACGACAGAGGCTGAAAACACCGCGAGCATCGTCCGCGCTTTAGTAAGTGTGTAGTAAACAAAACAGTGCGTCGCACCATCCGCCATTCATTCATTCATTCATTGCGGAAATCATGGAGCCTTTACGCGTGATGTCAAATGCTTCCACAGATTTGTAGTATTACTATAGAATTTTACCTGAGCATTGCAAATCACGCATATTGCTTTGTTCTTGGTTCTTGTCAACGGCTATCCGTTGTAACATTGTGTAAGGGTGACATCTAGTGGAGAAGACTAATGATAAGATTCATATTAATCAGATCTTGTTTTAAATGTTTGCTGAAATAAATACAGGAAAAGATCTATTTGCAGCTTTTGAGAACCGATATAGAATCGACATCATTTAAAAAAACGATTAATCGAAAAATCAATTTTTTTGCCCAGCCTTACCACACAGAGCCTGGCATTGATATCTGCATGACAAATCCCAAGCCACTTTTTGTTTTCACACCCTATGGACACTGAGATTGAACTGTGTATATCTGCACAGCACAGCTTGCATCAAACTTTATATTACTTGATCTAACAAGCCACTTAAATACTCTTATGGTGAAAACATTTCAAGGTCACATTTTAGCTCAAAATAAAAAAATTCAAAAAAAATAAATAAATATATATATATATATATATATATTATATTATATTAAGAAAGCACCATTTAGGACCATGTTATCACCAGGACTTGTTGACAGATCCCCACTTCTTAGGCAACAATAATACTAAGGTTTTGACCTCAACTATTAAATTACAGCTAAAACTGCACAATGCAGTCAGTCAGTGTCATGAGTCATTTTGGCTGTACAGTGGCTCTAAAATCTTTTGGCTTTGTCTGGCCTTTGGTCTCATACAACATGAATGATCTTTGCCAATCCGTAAATCCTATGGCTCTGAGGCTGATGCTTCTAACGAGGAAAGCAGCTCAAAGCTCATTTGTTTTTCCCATTCTCATATTCTTACATACTTGGATTGTTAAAGAAAGTGAAGCATCAGATCCTCTTGAGCGACACATACTTTTGTCTATGCTTTAACAAGACTGATGTAACTGACCTTTCACACAAGTCTGGCTCGCAGAGGGAATACCACAATACTGAGACAAAGTTAAGGCATGACACGCAAAGATGATCAAAAGCTTATTGTAGAAAATCAATTCGAGAAAAAATAAGGATAATGCTTGACTGAATGCTTCAACTCTCACAATAACACACAAAGATCTGGAGCTGATCGCAATAAAGCAGTAAACTTCAACAAGCACCTCATCCCGAAGACTGCAGTATGTCAGCAGGTTGGTGAGCTGTGTAGTCGGCGAGCAGCATGTCCAAAGGTTGGATCTGAGGAGGTCAATTTCTTTCCTAACTACTCGTCTGGCACAGGAGGATGGGAAAGCAGCAGCAACATTACTTGCAGTTTCCAAGGTGACGCAGCTGGGAGAGTCAAAGGGCCTGTCACGTGTGTGTAGCACGAGGACTCTGTGTGCTGTTCTGGCCCCAATAACTTCAGCCTCCAAAAGCAGACTGGCTCCCACAGCCACTTCCTACTTTTTCAACACAGGTCTTTAACCCCGTCGCTGTCTCTCTCGCTCACTCTCTCTCCCCAGCCACACTTCCTGTGGGAACTGTAGGCAGCAAAGCCATTTAAGAGATTAACATCCTAAAGTCCTTTCAATTTAAACAGGCCTACTACTTCAGTTATTAAACTCATGATAATTACACTGAGATAACATTAAACACGTACTGTCAGTCAGTAATATGGCGCCTTACCCATATTAAAGAAGTGTTACCCATATTAAAGAAAGATGTTTCTCTATGGAGAATATTCTGTTGGGGTGTAAAGGTACACGGTTCTTTTGGTCTTTCGGTTCGGTACGCATGTGTACCGAACAAATACAGCATTGTTATAACCACTGCATGAGTGGAACTTCATTGAAAACTTCTTTATATATCGTTACTTTTGAAATGAAAAAGTCCCATCTTTCAAATTATGTCAATTTTTCAGGAAATTCAAACAATACATGCTGTTTTGACACTCTTTGATGACAGATCGCTGGCGCCTCAGTTCAAACAGCAGGGCGGAGTGTGATAATCCCTTCTTCTTTACTAGGCCTACTAGTTTTAACGCGAAATAAACATGAATGAACATCATGTCAACCCTCTACATTGCGAGTAAATCACTCGCATATGTGACTAAATTTTACT